TATATACAGTATATATAGTATAGTATATACAGTATATATATGTATATATATAATATTCATTATCGTCTACATAGGCCTCTTAAGACTAATACGTATGCCTATAGCTTTATTTTGAAAGACAAATATGCACTTGGTCTACGTTGTCACGCACACGTAAGCACCTGGCGAACTATGAATACGGTAAAGATGATCTAAAGACAGAAGTATATTTAAGATGAATAATATTTCATGTGGAAATGCAAGAAGTTTGTAATAGCTATCGGGTAAACCGGAGATGTGTTAGGTAAACAAGCGACGCATTGATCTTAAGGAAAGCCCTGAGTTTCGCTGTGGTTCATCGTCTCTGCTGTGTCCACACTCGCAAATTTTGTTTGTCAGTGCGAATTCTCTTGTATTCCTTTTCGGCAAAAGGTCGCAGGCGTCATCGCTATATCGGGGACCAGGGCAGGTTGTCATTTAACAAGCTTGGCCTAATCCATTTTAAAATTAATAAGGTTCTGTGTCTCAGCTCATGCGCATTACTGTTAAGTCCTCTGATCATCTCGAGCCGACGTGTTTACAAGAAAGTAAGAGTAAATTTAAACGGTGCTGGACAATGAACATTGTTTTCTTACGGGAAGTATAGAGTGGTTAAGTCAAGGCGAACAGTACCAGAGACAAAAGTTGTGTGCAGAGTAACGAATGTCGTTAGTCTACAACAAACTATCGGCAACGGATGACAAAGCTGATGAAAAGAAAGAGAGAAGAGTTAGTTAGCAAAACAAGTTTCTGATAAACTTGTGATATTGAAGGAGGTTAAACATTATGAATAGAGGCGGAATGCTTTGATGATGCAGTGTTTGATAGAAAACATTCGGTGTTAGGCGGTGTCGGTATTATTCGTACCAAACAACATGAGTAGGCTAAACGATCACTCCGAGATTCGACAATATCCTCCAGCACCCAAAAGGGAGTTGAATGTGCGAGCAAAAAATCTTAATCTCACGGTTTCGAGGGAATTGGCGGCCGGGGAAACTATACAACTAGATAGGGGTAGAGGAAGTAGGGTTGCGGTGCGGTTGTGATTTCGGAGACGTGCATTCGTCATAAAGGTTTTTGGTTAACACGTAAATTTAATTTTTAGGACTATCGAACATACAGTGGTACTCGATCATCCTTCCTCTCCAGGTTTTTAAAACCGACGGGCGCGTACATCACTTACGTTATTCTTTGGCGCATGTGTTGCACAGAAAACACACGCCTTGTTGTAAGTCTGCATCAAAATGTAATATTAAACTTGTGTAGCAACTTATTCTTCCAAGGCCGCGCATGCCAAAAGATACAATAAATGTCAAGGGTAATATGCAATATTGCCTTGAAGAATAAACCGTTAAGCAAAGTGTGTATGAAAGATACATCAGAACATCCGTTGTCTATCAGACGATGAAATTACTTGGCGGAGACACAAATGAAACACACGTTTATATCATCAAGGAAATGATAATAACTCAGTAGTGTACAAAAGCAATTAATGTATAGGCATAATAGTCCCGGGAATAACACTTGATTTAGGCCTACACGATATCAACGACTACGCACACGTATATCATCAGTGTGCTTCGTCGTTGCCTACTTTATTAACCGTCAAATGCAAGTGTGGAAGCCAATACAAGAATCCAATTTTTGTGAAAAATGGGGCCTAGTTCACAATTAGGCTGATAATCACCGAAGCTGGTGATGAACTCACGTCATAAACTTACGTGAGATTGAGACCGAATCAAAGAGCATTATAAATTCGATGAAATAGAACAAAAAACCTCATAAAATCAATAATATCCAGGCCTATCTATATAATAGCCTACTATTCACTAAACTCTACATCAACAACCGATATTCGGCATAGTCCAATTACGGATGAAACTTCGAAACCATGCGATTTTGATCGCGCACTGCATTCTGAAGTTACGAATAGTTATCCACGTAATGCCTTACCGTACCAGTCAAAAGACACTTAAGGCGAGGTAAAAAAAGTAGTTTCTCGTTCTAATATTTTGTAAAAAGGAGAATTAGGGAACTTTTTTCTATTAAAAAAAAAAATCCGAGATGGCAAATCAAAGATAGTCGATGGAAAACGACTACTACTTTCTCACTTTCACTGGAAGCAGATACATTGAAAGCAAATAAAAGAAGCACTAGACATGATTCATACCGCCTACGTACAGCATCCCCAACCACGAACGACCGATGCGAGTTAGCCAGATTTTCGTACATTTCGTAAAAAAAAAAAGGAAATGAGGGGAAACAAATTGGTGAGGCAGAGACAATGGATGCGCGAGGGGACGAGAAACTACTAATTTTGTTATTTTGCCTAACCGTTATTTTAGTACGTTGTATTTGGAAGCGTAAGAGAACTAGGCTAATACAAAGACATCGGAATGTCATGATAATTATGGACATCACAAACATTTTCATCGTCATTATCATTCGCTTGGGAGGATGACGCCATGCTGTTGTGTGTCCACACCCACCTCAGCCCCACATTGATTAAGATAGCATTTGTATTACCTCTAGATGTCGGGAAATTGCACTCTCAGACCAACCTAGACTTGAAATTTTAATTTGAACACAACAGAACTTACAAAGTTAAGATACTCTTTGGTATAGTATTATATTATTAGGTCTGTATTCGCGACGTAGTCAGAATGGCGTATTTATAGGAAGGGGCTTGGGACTTGCAGTCCCCAAAAGCTTGCGCCCCAGGCGTCCCCACTTTAAATTCTCTGACCAAAAAATTACGCTCTTTTAAGTTAAAAATCACCTCGTATCACGGTATTCTGCCAGCTAACACCCCTCTACCCTCAAAACATCGACATAATCTTCAAATATTTCAGTAGTTCAGATTTTCCAGTTCGTGAAACACGCACATAGCATTTGTCTCATTCAATGGAGGACTCCACGGGCAAGTTATGTGCGTGCGACTATGCCAATCATTTTGCGGTAGTTCTGTCACTTTTTCATCGGAAGCAAGCTCAATGTTGAGGGCAGCAGTTTCATTATTAACATGGCAAGAAAACACAATCACTGTCATTGCTTATTATGTTGGGACTGCGACATAATCATTGTGACGTCAATATCGATAATGTAACTACAGTAATCGATTATCATTCAACTTCTAGTGCACATGCTCAATGAACGCCAAGTACATATTCAAATAAACAAACACACTGTTGAGATAGATATTGATGATTTAGGCAACTATTTTATTATCAAAACAGTTGATGCGAAAGAGAGAAATTTCTCAAAACTAATATATAAATACAAAATATATCGCAGAGATTTTCGTTGCTATTTACACATTTCAAATAGTAATTTTAATCAGTATTTATACACATAAAACATATAAATTATCGCGGGTGCTCGTCGATTAGCAATAAGTCATCGAACATAAAAATCTAAAACATCTGTTTTCCACTTAGCCTATAATAAAAATTAAAACATTGTTTTTACATAAAACAAACGATTCTTATGAGCCCCCACCCTCGGAATTATTAGACCAAATTATGGAAATTTATGTCAAAGAGTATTTGCTTTGATATCCTTTCTTTTTACTACTCGATTTAGGTTTACTATTAAGCACGAATAAGAAAAAAACCAACAAGCATTGGATGAGATTAAATTGTACCAAGAGGGCGGCATTCAACTTTTCATATTTGTCACAATATATGTATACTGTACACTATATCATAGACCTATTAATAGGTCCATGACTATATATTAAATAACTATTATAGTCATCATAGTCTGTTCTTTCTTACTGAGACAATATTTTTCCACAGTTATTTGATTATTACATATAGTTTTGTAAATGTTTATGTTTATTTCCTCAAGTTACACCAAAATATAAGCATCTACTTTTCTTAAGACATCATAATGTAACTTAAAATATAGGCCTATGTAGACTACTTTCAACATAGAACACCAATTGATGTTTTTATGTTTTATGTCGAATCTATAGTAACAATACTATAAATATTTTATAAATGCAAAATTTTGATTGTCATAATAAACAATCATTAACTATTCATTCGTTTTTGAGTTGCAACAATCCAGATAATTGCTATGAAATAATTACAATCCTATGTTCAAACAACACAACATTTGACGGTATTCATACCATTCCTCCGACATAAAGAGAAACTCTTGGTAATCATCCTAAAAAAACTAATCAAACAATTTAAATATTATTATTATCTCATTAAATGAAGAATAAACATAATTAATTAAAATCTAACAACAAAAATCATTAAATTTCTTACTTTCTTGGTTATATTGCACTGAAACCACTATTCAAGAGGCCATGCACATTTTATTATACATGTCATTTTGAATCAAATAAATTTTAAAGAAAATAAGATTTCATGAAAATTTTTATCAGATTAATTTTATGTTTCCCTGAAGAAATTAAGCCTTTTCATCACTTATTTCAGTTTGCATAACATGGACAAAAGGTGATATAACACTGCAGAATTGAAGGTGAGTAAATTTATACTTGTCACTTTCAATAAATTTTACCGAAAAGGACATATTCGATTGTCATTTAAATAATTTCTTCACAGACAAAAAAAAAATATTTTTACTAGTTTTATATTTTATATGGGTTTATGTCCTAGCCTTCCAGCCAATCCTCCTTTCTGTATAACTTTTTTATGTAGATTTAATTCAATATTGCTTTTTGCTCTCCAAATTTTAAGTGAATAAAAAATTGAATTAATCTGATAAATTATATCAGTGGATATTTTTAAGTGAAAAGGGAAGTCACATTTATTGAGCATAATTAGTTTTCTTATTTTTATATAATAGAAAGTAATTTTTATAGTACAAATTTTATAAGCAGTCAGTCAGCTCAATTTTTCTTGTGTAAAGAATACTGCAACTGCTAAATGCGAATCCTATGTCTAACAAGGAACATTTCATTTTTCAATTTTGCAGAGGTACTGCAGTTGTTCACTACAGTCATTATCGTCACTTAACTTTTGACCTGTGACATGTTTCAAGACTGAGTGTACATTACATCTCTTTTTATTTTCATTTTATTAGCCCATATATTTTGGTGGCTCCAAGAGTAGATTAGTTAGGAAAGAATTCCAAACACAAAAAACAGGGGTAAACCTGTAGCATCAATGATTCTTGAATGCAGTCTTCTTCCCTATTATCCTTTTTTTCCACACTAAGCTAAGGCACTGTTTCTAATTGCCACAGTACTTTGCGTTAAAGAAAAACACTTTTCCCTCCAAATGTAGAATAAATTACCATGAAAATACACCCAATGTTATATATCAATAATTTGTTGAATTGTCAAACAATCACAGCCCAAATTAAACTTCCATACTGCAGTTTTTTTCATTGCTTTCCAAATCCCAGGTTTTCCATAATTCTTCCATTTCCCGCTTTTTTCCATCACATTTTTTTTTCATTATAAATCGTTCATTTATATTTCTCAAACTGTACAAATATTTTACACTTAATACTTTTAATTAAGTTTCAGCAAAATGCCTGCAACCCGTTCATAGTTGTTTATGAAATGTTTGTTGGGTGATCAATGGGTTTTCTTCTTGTTCTTCTGCTTTTTAGAATGTCTTGGTTCTGTAACTGGATGTAGAAAATGAAACACTTTATTAAATGCTGCCCTCTATAGTTCATTTGCAACTTTGGACTAAGTCCATAATACTCATCAACATGATAAACCACATTTCCAATGTTATTCCTTTGTTTTTGTAAGTATAATTCATTAAACAGGACATACCTTTAGGAGGAAAACTAGCTAATTATGAATTAGTAATTAAATAATTTATCTTGGACAAATATAAATTCCTCTTATTATACATAAATATGTTACTTTACATATTTCTTGTTTTTCAATAATGTCTTTGATAAAAACATAGACCTTAGACTATTAGTTGCTATATGAGCTGAGATATGAGGCTATGATGGTGATGCCTTTAAAGTCTTATATGTATTTTATAATTACACGTAATTATACTATAACATGTTTAATCAAAACAAATAATTTTAGTATGTAGAAACCCCATCCACTAGAAACAAACATCAGAGAAAAATTTATTGATCCAATAATTTGTTGATGCCCTTACTACGCACCATCGCCTAAACGATTAAGCGACCATTCTACCACCACACCTCCAGTACTAAGTATGTTTTGAAAGTATAACTTTCGATTGCAAATTTCATATGATTACTGATTATTTTAATTTGGCTAATGATTTGATGAAAATTTATACTTACTACGTTGACAAAAGCGCCCTCGTGTGTTTGCCGGACACATACATTTACCACCATCACATCTACCACCATTTTCGCAAGGTCTTTTACAAGTTGCTAAGAAAACAAAAGTATTAATAATAAAGAAATTGTTACTTAAGCAATTATGTGACTTAAAATTATTTAATGTTGCAAGAACTGAAGCTTGAAGTGGTAAAAATGGAGAAAATGAAGACGATAAAAGGTAAATGTTTAGGTAATAATTACATTATTTCCAATGTTTTCTTTGTATGAATACCTATGAATAATGGTGGTAAAATACGAAATAAAGTATTTATGAAATATGCCGTTACTCCAATGTATACTTACATAGTTGACAACGAGCTCCTTTGAAACCCTCAGTACATTTGCACCGATTGCCTTCCATGCATTCTCCACCATTCTCACAGCCAGGTGAACAGGTTGGTTTTTCTGCAAGAACAAAATAAGATTTCATTTACAATACAGTAATATAACCACACAATCAACTGAGAATGTGGAATTAAATCCCTACTCAATGAAAACTTAATGTTTATTTTTAGTATTTTAACCCACTCAATAGAACTAATTTACTGCTATGGAGTGGAGGGGGGGGGGGGGGAGAGGGAAGCCCACATCCATGATATGGAAACAAACTCTACAATATCATGCATGTACTTTGTGAAGTAGGCCACAAGTGTTTTTGTTGTGATTGGGGTTTACAGCTAAGGGACATATTAACACACAGGCTTTGCAATCTATCAACAACAGACCTGTTTAATTCACAAAGGTAAAATGACATAACATAAACGCAGACTAACCGCAGACTTTCAACAGTTATATTTGAGAGTCATAAAAAAGGTATTTTCTAATTATTTCTTAACACATACAAGTCCTCCCCTAGCAGTCTTCTTTATGATGACATTTTGGGCAGTCTTGTGAAATGTACAATTTCTACAACATTTTGTTCTTGTGTTGAAATTACTGTGTTGATCACTTTGAAATCCTTTGTAGTTGTATTTGAAATTTTTTACTAACAACTTTGAGCTGATTTTCCCCCGATTTAGTTTGACTACATTTAAATGATCTTTTTCAGATCATTAATTTTGGAGAATTTAATGTTGACATTTTTTAACCACTTTACTGACATTTTTTGCAGTTCTGTGTGAATTCTAATTGACATCTTTGTTAAATAACCACTTTGCTGAACTTCTTTGTAGTTATAACATCTTTGTTTAACCACTTCTTTAGAAATTCTTTGCAGTTTTTGCAAGATCAAAGGTTTAAAATTTGCTAGTCATTCCTTTTCGGTTTTGTGACTGTCAAACCAATTCCTTGAGGTCATATGAGGTATACATTCTGAGGTGCAATTATCGACTAATGAAGAAAGGTATAGAGTCAGGAAATCCTTAAATCACGCAAATTCTCCAGATATTCCTGCAGAATCATTGCTCTGCTGGGTTTCTGATGTGAGGTATTTGTGTCATGTGTGTACCTTATGATTAGCAGTTGATAAGGAACTGTAATTCATAGTGTATGACTACACTACCGTTTATATAAAAATTGATTCTTGGTCACTGATGAAAAGTCACGGCAACCTCACAATACTGAGCTTACTAATAGAACTTATTTACTTGAGTAATTTCACATGCTATAAATAACTTTCAACCGAACCTACAGTACAATTTAATTACAATATTTTGTTAGTGGTTTAATGTCACGATACTCATTAATGATATCTATACTGCCTATCCACACTCTAATGTATGTAAAGCTTTCTAAATTGTCTATTCAACCTTTTCATAGAAAGCAACATACTGTAATCTAGCTAGCCTTTGTAGTAAACATACTCTTGCTGCCTATCTACACTTACAAGCCACAATTGCTTTCATTGTTCGTTATTCATTTTAATTGAAGTTATAAACATTAGCCTCAAAACCAGAAAAACACTTTTTCGTTATATACTGTATATAGAAAACTGATATTTACCAGTTATATATCTACATTAATATGAATTGATATTTACCAGTTACATATCTACATTAATGCTATGGGACTTTAGAAATGAAAATGTTAGTAAATACATTTCTGTGGTTTGATATTCTCTCCTACACAAGTCCTGTAAATCCTGCAGTTTTATGTAGATTGCAAAAGTCTAGACGAGAAGGAAACACCTCATCACCTCATC